TTGCAGGTATGATTAAGTGAAGGATCTTGAGGTGGAGAGATTATCCTAGATTATCCAGGATAATTAAATTTCATCACAAATGTCCTTATAAGAGAGAAACGGTGAGACTTCACACACAGAGGAGAAGGCCATGGACACAGAGACTGGAGTGATGCAGCCACAAGCCAAGGAACATCTGGAACCACCAGAAGCTGGAAGAAGCAGGGACAGATTTTCCTCTAGAGCCTTCCAAGGGAGTGCAGCACTGGAGACGCCTTGATTTTGCTACAGTGAAACAGATTTGGGCTTCTGGCCTCCAGAACTGTGAGAGGATAAATTTCAGTTGTTTTAAACCATCGAGTCTTCAGCCACAGGAAACTCAAACAAGAAATGCTTTGCCGATGGCCACACAGCTAGAAAGTGGAGGCATTGGACTTTAAACATAGTCAGTGCTCAATAAATGTTACCTGTTATATTATTACTATGTTGCACATGGGGAGGCTGCATTACAGGATGAAATGTCACAGATCCATGAACTTGGCCTACTTTGTTCATTCCAGCAGATGCTGTTGGAAAGAGACAGTCTGAGAGCCAGGATTTAATGATTCAATTGGAGAAGAAGCTATTAACACTGGGTGGAGCTGCCTCAAGAAAATGATGAAACTTTGTAGGGTAAATACCTCACCCCCACTGAGTCATTTCCGATCAGTAGAATTAACTCTACTGGCCAAGCTGGTCCTGCAAATTTGAGAGAGGGTTTGCAACTGATGAAGTAAGTTGACCAAACAATCCCAAAAGAGGTGGCTCCATATCTGGAAATAGTTCCCCTACAATACTTTATTACTTAATCCTATGTCCTCTTTGGTTCAGAGTAAACACTCAATAATTATTTATTGAATATATGAATGTTTGCCCCACTACAGTAAGCAAAGGTAGGAATTGATGGCCCATAGCTAAAGCCAGTTTGCCAAAGGTTTATGTGCCTCCTGACATTTTCCTTCCATTTCCTCTCCTCCTTCCCCCCTTTTCTTTTCCCTTTCTCTTTCCTTCCCTTCATTTCTATTCTTGAACAATTGAATAATTCAATCCAAATGCCACTGGGTGAGTACTAGCAAGGTAAGTATCAGCAATGGGGGATGAGGGGCAGAGGGTACATGCTGGTCCACAGAGGTGTGTCATAGCCCAAACGAGATAAGAAGAGTGTCTGCATGTGGTGAGGGTGGCCCAGCTCAGGTGGCCAGAGCTCGTGTGGTGAGGAGGGCATCCTCACGGAAAAGCAGCCCAGCATGTGGTGTCAGAGCTCGAGTGGGGCGTAAAGGGTATCTTGTTGGGGAGAGGGTAATATCAATTAAAAATTGTTACATATGGGGAATAAGTCATATAGGTGATCATAATAAAAAAAAATGAGAATACCAGATTTCTCACTGTCAGAGAAGGGAGTTACTAATATGGAGAAGAAAAAAAAAAACTACAATTAACCTTGTGACTTAGATTGGAATTGGATCCATTAGGGTAAACTAGTGGTTTTCAACACAGATAGATGTCTATAGAAACAATGGGTATAGATGTAAATGCGTGTGCATGCACATATGTTAACTCTGTCCACCAAGAGGACCTAGGGGCAGTGACACCTCAATAACAATAAGCACATGTAGGTCTTGTTTTCTAAATATCATTCGCCACTAAAAGGAACCTGGGCTCTTTAGAGAAATGGCTGATTTTAGGCCTAGATTAGGGAAAGCACAAGCTGAGCCTGAAATATCTTATGCCAGACAGTAAGAAAGCGCTTTAAGAATAATGGTGACATGTCAAAAGGAAAGAGAAGCCAGCCTGAAGGGGTGATCACAGGCTAAATCTAGGATAATTTGAGCAACCCCAAAATAATAATAGTAATGGATTATAACCCATGGAATCAAGAGTCTGTACAGACAAAAGTAAATAAACGAAAAGTTTGATAAGAGATGGGATATTTACCTAGTCTCAAAGTAACTCCCTATGAAATATTTCTTAATTTCAAAGAGGAAAAGAGCAGATTCACAGCGGAAAAGCCTGGAAGACAGCATCTTAGTCAAGTGATCAAAGTTAATATCATCAATAATGGGACAAATCGGAATCATGTATCATCTGTTAAGAGGCAGTGAGCAGGACACAGCATCACTTCTGTAATATTCCATGATACATGGAAACCACAATCTTCATCTAATCTCAGATGCATGACCTCAATGCACGATCTAATTGAGAGGAAACAGCAGACAAACCTAAACAGAGGGACTGTCTCCAAAGTAACTGCCCTTTCAAAAGGGTCCAGGTCACGAGAGTCAAAGACCAAGGAATGTTCCAGACTGAAGGAGACTCAAGAGACAGGACAACCACACACAACATGAGATCTCGAACTCAACCTTTTTTGCTACAAAGGACATTATTTGGACAAATGGTGAAACTTGATGAGGTCTGAATATTAGATGGCAAAAATGTATCGGTGTTTTAATTCCCAGTATTGTGATTCCGTAGGAGAGTGTCCTCGTTTGGAGGAAATACACAGGAAAGTACTTAGGGTGATGGAATGTCAGCAATTCATGCTCAAATGATTCAGGAATAAAAAGTTATTTGAATGGTACTCATAATTTCTCTTTAAATTTGAGATTCTGTCCAAAGAAAAAAGAAAAAGAAATGTGTTTTGTGTGGCTTACCTAGTGTTTTTTAAAATTTGAATTGTCAACATTAAAAAATCAGATTTTACTCTTAAATCTAGGTTTCTGACTTCTCTGAAGAAATCTGAAACATTAACCACTCTGGGCAATGAGTGGTCAGGTGAATAGCCACAGTGCCCTTCAGATGGGCCATGTGATCCCCAGTTCTCCACAGTTCCCACCACTCCTCACTGTGTCATATACCCAGCTCACAGCATCCATTTATACTATCAGCTTGGCCCCTGGTACCAGCTCAATTCCTATCATAAGCTATGAGAAGGTAAGAATACCCCCCAGAGCATGCACTTAAAACACTTGTTGAATGGACGAGTAGGTAGACAAATAAATGGGTGGATGAATTTTCAAGATACTCCATTTACCCAGAGGACTGACCTATCTTAGCATATCTGGTTCCATAGCAAGAGAATTCTTCTAGACTTGAATTTTTTGTATCAGCCATAGTCTCTGGTGGTTTGGCTGGGATATAGCAAGTTGAGAAATCAAGGTGTCATCTGATGCTTGAGGTCCCCATGTGGGTTGCAATATCTCTGTGGAATTGATGTAGGTGGGTGGGGTTCTAGCACTGAGTCAGGGTGCTGGGCGGGCTGATGATGCTTGGAGGAGATGGTATCTTACAATGCCTGAAGTGGTGAGGTTGGGTGTGGTGGGAACAAGCCGAAGTTGATGACTTTGGCGCCTATCAGTGGAAGATCTGCCTGATGGGGCATGTCAGGGTTTGGGTTATGAGCAATAAGAGATGACAGCTTTGTCTTCTCCAGACCTTCCTCCTTCCCGACTGTCCTTGGGTCATGCACTTGGTTGAGGACAACCTCTTTTCCCATCTGCCCCCCAAAAGATTACATTGAAAATATTTAATAAGTTTTGGCCATTACTTTTCTGGCACTAGTGATTTCTCATTGCACTTAGGATAAAATCCAAACTGTACTGCCCCCTATGTAACCCAGCTCCTGCTCACCTCTCTGAGCTCGGTTATCATTCCACTCCCATTCCCTTCCCTGGTTTCCTTGGTTGCTTGCACACACCAAGCTCTTTGCAATCTTAAGGCTTTGCACAAGCTCCAGCCACTCTGGCTGTCTCCTACTTCTCCTTCTCGGCTCAAATGTAGTCCGCTCTTCAAAGGTACTTACTACTCCCGAACCCCTACATCCTATTTCAGCCATGCCCTCAGTCATCCCTTCACTTCACATCCCTTCACTGTTTTATTCTCTTCATTTATATTTATCAATGTCCAAATTTGTCTTGTGTATTGTATTGTATTATGTTATCTTCCCAGCTAGAATGTCAGCTCCATGAGAGCAGGGATTCAACTGTACTGTTGATCACTTTACTCTCAATGCTTAGTACGATGCATGGCATGTAGTGGGGGCACAATGAATATTTATTATGGAATGAATGAGACGCTCTAAACAACTGTGCTAGATTTTTGGAGAAGATGAGCATTGGGTTTTAGGACACAAGCATCTAAGTGGGTTGTGACTGAGGTGATTTGTGCTCCAGGTTGTGGCGAGCATGTGTCCTGGGAGGCTGGGATGAGGGTAGGGTTGGGAAACGTGCGTCCAGTCGGGTGGTGTTTGAGTTGGATTGTAAACTGGGCTGTTAAGGTCAGACTGGACCCCAGATTTCAGGAAACAGGAGTCCTAGGCATGGCTTAGTTAATCTGTGACTTGAGCAGTGACTGATCAACAGCTATAAGATCATTGAAGGAGAAGAACCAAATGTTCCCGCTGGTATCCAACAGTTCACTTACGGTTGCTGGAGGATAGGCTGTTTGGGGAGAAACAGGTGTCCTGAAGGGTGCTGCTGGCTGGGTTGGGCTGTACCCTGGGCTGTTGTGTGGGCTGTGAATTACGACGAGGGCAGCTCCACGCCCCCATCAGGCGAGGACCCGGCCCAAGCCAGCCAGCCCGGGTTGGAGGGACCACGCCGGGGGCGGCAGGAAACACGCCTGGGGAAAGCTCACCTGGGAGCGGCTTACCTGGGCCGACCTGGACCTACCAGTCCTCCTACTTCCGCGCGGAGGCTGGCCCGCCCCGCTCCCCGACCAATGGGGGCGCGGAGGACCGCGGCGGCGGGAGACGATTGGGCGCAGG